ATTAATTAATCAGTGACGTGCTGTATTATTTCGAGAAGATAAAGTGAGGACGATTCTTTATTTTTTTTTTCGTTACGATTATCTTTTTATTTTGAAAGTCTATCATCTAGGCCTATACCTAGTTGTTGCTAGCAGCCTACTCTATATAGCATGAGGCTCCTAAGAGTCAACTGCAGAGGAGAAGGGTTGGTTGTGCAGACAGAGTAGGTTTGTGAATAATATGTTAATGAATGATAAAAATATTAATAACAAACTAAAATTTAAAAAAAAAAACTTTAATTTATGAAATAAAATATTCTGGTCATCTTCAAACCAATACAAATATCCTAGGCCTATTTGTAAATTGTAATCTAAACAATAAATCAAAGTTGAAGAATTATTGCATTGAGAGAAATTTTTGTACAACATATGCCTAATCATTCATAATCAAGAAGCTAGGCCTTGTAAGTAAAATAGCAGCATTCTCCACACTTCTGTTTATAATATTAGTGAGTTATAATATTATCATTATTACTGTATTATTATTATTTATTATTATTATTATTTATTACTTTATTCATTGAAATTTGGATTTGTAAAACATTTAAACGTTTTGATTTAATATATGTATTAAAACAATCAATATATTATAATACAATTAGGCCTATATCTTTAAAATATATTTTTATCTTTAAAATCTTTAGTTGCACAATTAATTGATTTGTAAAGCACAATTTGGGCATGTTTGCATAGCACAGGACTCCTTGGACAAGTTTTCGCTTTTATTGGAGGATTCAATTTTTATTTTTAATTATAATTTAAGCTACCTTTGACTGATACTTCATGTAGCTTTCTGGAAATTTAGTTATATACTAATTTAACAGCAAAGTGCAACATTGCATCTTTTTATAAATCATTGCTGCTTGAAAATCCTTCCTTTTTTTTTTTTTTTATTATCATCGTAATTAAGCCGATTTAAGTACTGCCTAGTTGTAGTAGGTGTATATATACCGTGAAGTGGGGGCGGGCGGTACATGCCTTATAATTTACTACGTGGATAGCGAGATTTTTCGATCGCCATTCAAAGTTAAAATAAAATCCCAAATCCTCCTCCTTTTTGGAATTTAAGGAAATTAATACATTTTTGTTTCTTTGTTGGATCGATTGTAGCAACCCCAAACCCAGCATAACGGTATCTATTTCACATAGCATTAATCATCTATAATAACTGCTAACTTCCTACCCTATCGCATTGTTTTGTTTTGGTGACAACATGGCCGGTGTAAGTCACGTGATTGAAACCGAGTTGGCCAAACTCTCTCTATCTACGGCTCTGGTGTGCATGACGTCAACATACGAAGCCACGCCCCCCTCGGCTGACCCTTTTCTCTACTTCGTACTACTGTCTCAGAACATTCGTCCAGCAATAGCGGCGTGTGGTGAAATGGGAGAAGTTGGTAAGAATTGTTTACTTTGTTTTTGTATACAGGTAGTTCCCTTATTTTAATGTGCTTCAATACACTTTAGTACTATCAGGGAGTTGTTATAGCATGGTTATAGTGACTGGAGATCCAACGCTGGCCTCTAAACAGCGATCATAGCCTAAAGGCACAATAAAGCTATTAAGAACAAACGAACCACCAATTACGAAGGCCATTTACGAGCGATAACGAGGCTTTTGATGTACTATCAAACTGACCGGCTTCAACAGCGCAGCACCGCAGTGGGAGGCGAGGACAAACCAAGTGTCCGATGTTACTATAACAACTCCCTGGTACTATATCTTTCCGAAATGATGAAGGCCTCATCGTTCCTGGAACATAAGAAAATCCGCCAAAATCTTATCAAACAACCAGCACAATATGTTGGTGCCAACTCACTATAACAACTCCCTGGTGCCAAGAAATCATCTCTCAGCAATCGGAGCGACTTGGCACAAGTCCCTTATAACTGTATTATATTTTCTCATTCTGGACAGCGCCACCAACGAGCGAGTTAATATTGAGACAGAGAAGAAAAAGAAATTACGGAGCTCCTAAGGGGACATGGTTAGAAAAAATATTACCCTATTTCGAGGGAACGAAATAATATTTAGAGGGAACGAAATATGATTTCGTGGGAACGAAATCATTTCGAGGGAAGGAAATAATATTTCGTTCGAACGAAATCTTATTTTGAGGAACAAAATCAATTCGAGGGAACGAAATCATTTCGTTCCCTCGAAATATTATTTCGTTCCCTCGAAATATTATTTCGTTCCCTCAAAATAATATTTCGTTCCCTTTCCCTCGAAATACTATTGCTATTCAGTCCGAAATGTAGCAATATCAGGGGTTGCATTTTTTTTGCTATATTTTTTAAAAATTGGATATTATGTAGAGTAGACATTGATAAATCAAAAAAGTATGTGCAACATTTTTTTTTTCATACGTAAGGGGGGGGGGGGTTGCCAGCAGTTTCAAAATGGCCGCTATTTTTTCCTAAAATTGTCACTAATACTGTTTATGTCATTAAAATGCAGTATTCATTTGGAAATTCACTCATAACAATGACAACAACAGTTAACTAAATATTGTACGTATTTTTGAGCTATTACAATTTAAAATGGCTGCCATTTTCCATTAATTTAGCTTTTTAGCATACATATTAATATAATAATAACCGATCTGTACTGTAAACCAAAAACGTGTGATAGAGCTAGTTATATGCAATTGCCATATGCTGTTAATGGTTAAAAAAACAGCTATGAGTTGTAAACATACTAGGAGCAATATAATTTAGTAAATCACAAACATTTTTCAAACACTCCTGTGTTCTTCCTCGGTGTGAGGACAACTGACAAAAAATACAAAGTAAAGCAAGTATAAGGAAATGGTATTGGTTACATATTAAAATAACAATAGAACCTAATTAAAGGCGGCATATAAAGATACTTAATATGGAATAAACGTTTGTGATTTAATAAATTATATTGCTTCTAGTATTTTTATTGCTGTCTTTCTATATTTTATTTATCAAAGCAAACGTGGAATATATATATATATATATATATATATATATATATACAGTATACATATATATATATATGAAAAATAATATTTTGAGGGAACGAAATAATATATATAAAATAATATATATAGTTTAATATTTTCTTTAACCATGTCCCTTTAGGGGCTCTGTAAGAAATCGAGTATGGGGCGTCAAATAAATTAGGTATGTCGTGCAATAAAAATGAGTAACCCAAAATTAGGGCCTGGAACCCAGGCTGGAACGGATCCAGTATGGGACGTGTTCCCCTCCCCCGCCCTCATCCCAACTAGTGGTAGCACTAGCGGGGGGCAGTTGGCAGGGTGTGCATTGCCTCTCATCAGACAGGTTTTGGACCCCCAGTAGATGTAGCAGTGCTTGACTTTTCCAAAGCATAGGTCCCTCATCAGTCAAAATTAGAATACTATGCAGGGGTGGAGACAGAATTTTTCTAACAGGGGTTGGGGAACAACAGTTCCAGGATAGATAGTGAGTAGCACATAACATTACGCATTGAAATTTTAACAATTTTGTGGCAGAACGGAGCTGAATCCGCCCTTGCTATGGTCTAAGTAAGTGGGGCAATATCATCATGGGTTAAAAACTTCCTTTTACAGTAGAAGACAAGCTGTGTAAATGGCCAGTCATCTAAATCGGCAAGAGTAACATCCTCAAGGTACGGTCTCTGGGCCACTTTGGTTCCTACTTTACATCAACGACCTGCCCAACAAACTTACATCACAGACTAGGCTATTTGCAGGTGATTGTTTGTTGTACACAAACAATCATATATCATCCCCTGATGACATGTGACACACATGAATTGAAATGCAGAGATGCCAAGTTTGTCAATTAGCTGGGTGTGAGAACAATCAAGCAATCGAGGGAGAGAAGCAGGGGGTGGGGGGTGTTGTAGGAGGGACCCCTCCTACAATAGAAAGAAAATTCATTTTTGGGTTTTAAAATGTGCAGTTTAGTGCGTATACCTATAATACAATTTTACTTGCAGAATTCTTATATAAGAGTACCGTACTCGTGCGAATAAGCGGCCGAGCTTAAAATATTTTTTTCACTTTTTGAGCAGCGCTTAATGAAACGGGGCACTTATTCGAACGGGGCACTTATGAAAACAGATAAAAGTCGAGGGGTTCTTATGAGAACTTATTAAATTCAAGAGGCATATTTTGAATGAAAAACGATTATATAAGGACATCAAGAAACCGCAAATTACGAATGGTGGTGCGAATTTTAAGCACTGTAATGTATTTAGCGAGATAACAACAAATATTTTTTATTATAAGCAATATTACATTTATGCATGAGATTTTAGTCCTCAAGCGTGAGAGAATGAGATAGACCGCAAATGCAGGAGTCTCAAGCCGAATGGGTGAGCCTTGATGTGTATGTTAGTGGTACTCTTCGATTATACAATCAAATATTGTAGAAGGATTATAGCTCGTCTGAAAATGTCCGCATCCGTTCAAGATTTCTTGGCATCCTGTTTTTGTGATGCATACCATAGTTTGCGTAACATTGTATTTAAAGGACAATAAAATGAGTGGTCAAATGTGATCTGTGTAAAGTCGACCTGGATAAAGGGCTTAACCAGTAAGATGTCTACATAACTAAAATGATTTATAATGGACATCTGGGACGGCCTTTACCCTGCCATGACAGGTTTTGTATTTCTACATTATATTGTACTGGTATACTGTATTCCTGTAGAAGTTTACATCATATCACATGGGTGTAGTACTGTAGGCCTAACTACATAGTTCTGTAATTTATCATATTACTATATGATAAACAAAAAGAAGAAAGAAATTGGTCATTATATTATAAGAATATAATTAAATAAACATCTACAGTATTTGTTTCTTGACCAATTTTTTTTTTTTTAACTGTGTAAAAATAGGCCGAATCCTGTTTAGAAATGCCAACAGTTTAGAAAAAAAATGCATTTTGTTTTGTATTATTAGCTTAAAGTCTTATTGTATAGTAAAAAACGATTGTGGCAGAAAACTTACTTGCATCATAGTTGTTGTTGTGTATCGATTATTCAAGAAGATAAATACTTTGTCCATGGACAAAACACAAAATTTGTATGGCAAAGAAATTAAATGACAAGTAAACCTTTAAGATAGGGTTGTCAACTTGGCTAATTGCACTGCATTGTTGTTGTTTTTTTTATGCACTTGTCATTGAACCATTCCTTAAGTTTTGTAGCGCCCTAAATTGGTGTTTTTTTTTTCACATAGTACAATCAGTATTTTTGTTATTATAAATAACATTTTTGTTAAATGAAATTGCAGTAAGACTAAGCTTCCTAAATCAAAACATCCAAAAAGTAAAGTTTGGTTAAATAAAATTTGTATTATTATTATTATTATTATTATTATTATTATTATTATTATTATTATTATTATTATCATTATCATCATCATCATCATCATCCATGAGACTATAAATATATTTTGTAGCACTAAAATTTTAAGACAACAAAAATATTGTATAGTACAGTATGCCACAGGAAATGGATTACAGTATAGGACTAAGCATGTCTGGATGCTCACTGCATCCTGAAAAGCTTAAATGACATCAAAAAGTGTTACAAACTTCTAACACATAAAGGAAATTTTAACTGAAAATAATATATTAAACAGTGTTGAACTGTAAAAACTTATTCAGAGAAACACTTTTTTATTGGGTAAAAAATAAAAGTGAGAGTATGAGGTAAAAAGGTAATGGGTGTGGGAAAGCTGGCCTTCCCCTCCCTCCCCCAGTCTTAGGTATTCATTCGTGACCCTGCCGTTGCCGCAGAAAATGCAAACTGTGATGATGTAAACAGTTCAGCAATCAGATTGATAAATGGGAGGGACTTTAACAGATGGAGAGTGTAGCCCACCTCAGACCCACCATGGTTGGTGCTGAGGCAATAAAATTTATGATTATGGCACCTCTAGATGGCTGAAATGGCACTCAAAGACCTAAATTTGATTAATATTTTCCTTTTTTATCCAATTTTTTTTTATTTTGAATCCGCCACAGTATTTCATTGTGAGGAAAAAATAAAAATATCTTATTGTATAGATTTCATAGTGATGGCAAGTGTGATAAAAATAAATTGAAAGTCATTTTTATGTGAAATTTGTTTTAATTTTTGCAGCGATAGGCGTATTTATTTTATTCAAAATTATATACCTAAGCAGGTAGAGGTATCACAAAACAAGATACAATGTCATGCCTTTTGATTTTTTTTAATTTACTGATATCATGCTGCAGGATTTGAACAAGGATCTCCAATTTAGATTAAGTACTGTATAAAAGTTTTTTGGTGTTTTTTTTTCTATTTTCTATAATTATACAGTAGGTATCAGTGAAATTCATCGGAAACCAATAGCGAGTAAAGAGGATATACTAGACCTTCTGCTTGAATTATATGGACTTAAAGTGGCTGCTATCTCAGAACAGGAGAGTTATAGTGATCAAGTCTGTCATGTAGTTACCAGAGAGAAAGAACCATTGTTAACTGAGGAGTACATATTGAAATTGTACAATCATGAAGCTTCTGAAAATCTAAAAGACATAACTGAAGTTATAGACATATTGGTTTGGTTGAATCTTCAAGGTATAAACTGCCCAAAGCCACTCAAAAACAAACACGGAACCTACATAACATTGAAGGATTTCTCAAAAGATGAGAATGGTATGACTACTACCCCATGCTTTGCACAGTATGAAGACCTTTTATGTTGATACAGTATTACCAAAGAGTGTAGAATTGTAAGACTCGATGTTGCATGCACGTAATCAAATTAAATGCAAAGCACTAGGAGTAGGAGCACCCTATTAGAATTTGAATAGAGTTCAAAACTCAGCATGCATTCTGTAGACAGCACTCATTCAATAGGAATGCCTTTAATATTCTTTTGAAAGATGCCCTCTAGTACTTTTTGACATAGGATTCCGTTTCAAGGGAACTTTAACCGTCGACATCTTACAATTCTTTACTTTTTGATATTATTTTATAGTGGCATTGTCTGTTAAACTATAGGGCCTTCTTGAAAATTATAATTATTTGATTTGCTTTATATATATTCAAGTAATATATTATACAGTACTATCTGTGGTAGCCAGTGTGTATGTGCAGAACCTACCCGATTCAATTCCTGCCACTGCTCTTCTTGTGTGTTTCAGCTGGAGGGCTGAAATGCAAATTTAAGAATACTTTTTTGGAAAAAGAAATGTTAGAGCTGTTTGTCTGTGTAAGAATACTTTTTTGGAAAAAGAAATGTTAGAGCTGTTTGTCTGTGTACAGTATGTCCCATATGCATAGAGTACAACAGTCGTGTCGTCACAACACCAGGTGGCGCCCTTTGTAGTCAACCAGACGTTGGTTACCGTTCATTACGCCTCTGAATGACGTCATAATCTTAATGGTTTAGGCTTTTTGGAATAGGCATTTTAAAACCTAATAATTTACCATCAAAATGTACTAAAACCACAAAAGCTTGCATTATATTAGTTATCGAACACACATTTAATCATCAATTAAAATTTACATAGAAATTGGGATCAGTTGTTTGTTAGTGGAGAAAATGGCATCGGTTGAACGCATTTAGTAGTATCACGTGGTATCGTGACGTAACACTGTAGTACTCTATAGTAAAAAAATACACTCTTCGGAAGAGGGTAGGGGACTGTTTCCCGGTGTAATGCCCAATCACCACCAGAAGGACCCTTGTGGAAATAAATCTTCAACTAAACATTAGAAAACAAAATATTTTCCTCACTAAAACAAAATCATAAACAATATGATCTGTGTTTCATTGTTAACTTGATAACTTATGTGGTCCATTTTAATGGAGCAATTAATTGTTTTCAGTTTTCCAAATATTATCTACGATAGCACGTTTTATAGCCTTCAGATATGAAGAACAAGCTGATTTAATACAATGCGTAAAAATGCATTTTTAAATAGTTACAGTATGTGTTAACACAGTTTGGATATAATATTGTTGAGGAACTGTATTTTACAATGTTATAATATGTTTCATTTTTTCACTTTTATTTGTTGTGTTTACAGGAATAACCATCTTTGGAACTTATGCGGTGTGTTTGTTTAGCTTTGTTAAAGGAGTGCAGTTAAAGAAAATAGTAGATATTTCAGATGGATTACTCTTCAATGCCGGACAATACCTAGCTGAACTTCAACTTCTTTTGAAGGTCCTCCATTGATTTGGTATTTTATGGTTTTTTGGCACTGCATCCTCCCATTCCCCATCATGAAATTACATACTGTACCACTTGTGGACAGTGATACATATTAGCCTACAGTATACCCACCATGACTAATATAGTATTATTGACTAATACGCAGAAACTACAGCCCTGGTCTTGTTAATTCTTTTGTTAATATCAACTATTAGTATTCAGGTGCTTAGTGTATTGATTTGACATCGTCTCAGGTACAGGTTGAAACAAAACAAGTAAAGACCTGAGTAAACATATTGTAACGTGAATTAAATCAACAACTGTTCTTGATTTTGATTTGATTTTGTTTAGCATCTATATATAAAATACATAAAAATTGATTTTAAAAAAAAGTATCATAAAATCTTATGTTCTTTTGCTTTCTAGAAAGTGCATTTTCCTATTACAAGACGATTGGAGTATAATTTTGATTTTGACTGTATTAAAGAGCGATTACGAGAAAAATATTTCTACAAGTTTGTTGATGGTGTGAAAAGAGAGCTTATTTTAGAGGCATTCCATAATTTTGTCACCGACGTTGACCAACAAAAAGCTCAGTTAGAAAAAGGTTTGTATATAATTTATTTTATATACTGTATGAGACACATGAAAAAGTATAATCACTGAAAATCATTGACTGAGGGCCCTACACAGCAGCCCTTCACTCTGAGAAGAATATAAAAGTTACAAAATATCATAGTTGTGTTAATTATTGTAATTGTTGGTTTTTTATAATTCTGTTTTCAGTATTTCTTGGGTATTTTTTGCCATCACCCCCGGCCGTCATCTTGTTTTGAGAATGGAAAGTATAGACTTTAAATGGAAACATACCATATTTTATCCGGTACACCCTATTTAATATGGCATTAGACAATTTGGGTTGCCCTATATGAAGAACCAGAAAATGAAAAAACTTGGTTAAATCTTCCTGAGTATTTTGGGTAATGGAATTTTTTTTTCAAACATTTAAACTTGGGCTCATCTACCTTTGAATAGTGCATGCTATGATCTTGCATTTAGACGGACATACTGTATGTGTATGGCAAGTAATAACTAACCACATTCTAGGTAAAGCCTACTGTATAATAAAAACTTTAAGTGCCAACAGCTGTATATTTACCAAGGTAAAGTTTCATTTTCTCTTAATAATCCGATGAACTTACTGTACAGTCAGTACACCCACATATACAGTATGAATCCAGGACCAGATGGAATTATTCCTATATTCTCAATTTTCTCTAGTTTTACTTTTTTTTTTTTAATTAATAATAGGTGTAATTCATGGAGATTACAATGAAGCAAACATTCTGATTTCATCAGAATCTGTCAATGGAAGTCTTATAAGTGAGAGAATTACAGGAATCATAGATTTTAACGACCTCATCGACGGTGCATTGGTTTATGACACTGCAATCGGTCTACTGTACATGATGCTCCTGCGTAGGGGTGACATGTTTACGGCAGGTGCACACTTCCTCGCAGGCTATCAGAGCAAGAGACCTTTACAGGCTCTTGAGAAAGAGGTCATTATTAAGATCGTAGCTGCCAGGCTTGCTCTGTCCCTGGTGGCAGGATTGGAAGCAAGCTCTAAAGACCCTGACAACGTTTATCTTTTGGAAACACAAGCGGTAGGATGGGATTTCCTTCAAATGCTCTTGAACATACCAGAAAAAGACATTTGGGAGACGTGGAATTTGATTATAGATGGCTATGAGAAAAGCCAGAAGATTGAGGCATAGACACGATGGTTATGTGGAGGTTTCTTGCTTGGCCTTTGAATTCTAATAATAGCAAGTGGTTTAAATTCCTGCAAATATTAGATGTTCCTTATGATTAACACCTATTAAATCTCACTTTAATAGAATTTCAAATTACTGTACCTTAATTCTGCCTAGATTATCAGATGACAAAAGTTGAAAGGTGAGCATACAAGCACACAAATATATGTCTAATCGGTATAATTTACAATGCAAAAATAAATGAGACTAAAATTTAAAATTTAATCAGTTGCTCTTTAGTGTGAATAATTAAACCATGTATGAAATCAAAATATGGTAAAGCATAACAGGGGAGGTATGATTTGAAACAGTCACCTGTTATTTACCAACATGTTGCTTGCATACACATATGTAAATTTTATGGTGTACATCATACTTGACCATATCTAATTACCTATAGCTTTTTATAACTTAATTTAAAAAAAGAGATAGAAAATAGGCTCTATGTGGAATCATGTGTCTACAGTACTTCTTGAGAGGTTCTTTTTTGGATGTGGAGAATCAATTTATGTTTGGAAGATTTAATTTCTATCTTTAGTTTATGATGCAATAGTATCCCATCGGGAAAGTCCGGCTTCTCTCGCACCCCTTGTCGGGGAGAAAAACCACAGTTCGTCAGGGGAAAAAAATGTAATGTATTTTCTACATATTAGTAGACACCAAAATCGACTAAGTATAGCCTTTCAAACCAAAAAATTTTATTTTTTTTTTAGATGGGGGGGGGGGGGAAGCCCTGTGGAACACTTTCGACGGATATTGAGGGACTCCTGACCACGCCCACTTTTTTCGTCGGGGACCTCGGACCCTGGGCAAATCCTGGCGCCACCCCTGTACTACTTAGTCTATGGATTTTCAAATCTTAATCCTATGAACAAATTATCTTACTGGAAGAGAAAATGGGCCTAATAAATTAAAATTACAACTTTTACAACATGACTGATAAGATAAGATTTTTTTTTTTTTTTTAGTGTTCACTGCTTTAAAACAATATTGCCGGCTATATTCCAGAAAAAGAGAAAGGGAACCGAATGTTAATATATGTAATTCCTACAGATATTAGGAATATCTGTAGAAACACGTTATATTTTCATTGCAGATTTTTTGGGCTCAGTACGGACTCTAAATGTATGCATTTTCTTTTAGTTTTAAGGCGTATGCGGATTTTATAAGTCCGCAATGACGATATAACGTGTTTAGACTAGAATTGTTTTGCAGTGTTATAATTCATCCATAATCTTTCTTGCCAGTAATGGAACATTCCAAAGTCAATCAGTCTTCCTAACTAGCAAGAAACACAGGGGTGGCGCCAGAGGGAGCTGGGGGGCTATAGCACCCCCCCCCCCCCTGTCGGGGAAGACGATAAATTTTGTCGGAGAACAAACAAATAAAAAAAATATTTACATGTAATATTCGTTTTAGCCACCATATCGTTTGTGTTAACTTTTCATCACAACAACAACCACAATAACAATAATAATAATAATAATAATAATAATATTTCAATGAGACTAATTAAAAATAATTTGCGTTCTGTTATGACAAATGCTCATTTAGATAGCCTCATGATGGTTGGAATACATCGTGATAGGTGAAGCAACCTCGACCATGACAACGTGGTTGACAGATTTCATGCAAAATTCCCAAAATATAGAATTTCACTTTCAAGAATGAGGATTTGAAAATAAATTAGATGATTACATTGCATACTCTTTGTTTCTTGCTTTATTCAAAATGTTTTGGTTTTGGAAGTTGATGTCAACATTAGAAAGCATAGCCTATATGAAGTCATATTGTAGTAACTCAATGCCTATCAAATAAGTAATAAAAATTCGCCATAATTCATCAATCCGTGGCTTCCAGGGGGCTTTTCCCCCTGGACCCCCACCGGGGGCCCTAGGCGGCCCCCTGGCCCCCATCCAAGTGAGACTCAAATCGCTACACTAGCCCCCCCCCCGTCGGGGCCTTTAGCCCCTCCGTCGGGCAGGTCCTGGCGCCACCCCTGAAGAAACATGTAATAATAATATCTAATCAGGGGCGTAACTAGTTTGTGAGGGGCCGTGGTTCAAAAGTGCAGTCAGGGGCTTTGACGCATGCAAATTGACTTACCATGTCAGCTAAGTTGTGTACCACCGATGGGTTAGTTTAAAAGCAGGGGTCCCGATTTTTTTTATACTATTTTGACAATAAATCTTTCGATATTTGTTGAATTTTTATATGTTCTCAGAGGGCTTGACTGACCATATTAATAATGAGCATTTCTCTTCTCATGAGCAAAAGAAAAAGCACATTCGATATCTATTGAATTGGTGTTTTTTTATTTATCGGATTGATCATTGAAGAATAATGTCAATAATTATCTTGTATTAGTTTTATATACTTAAACTAAATAAAATAAAATGGATCACACCTGACATCATTAGATTATGTATGACTGTGATCATGCAAAACCGATAAATATGGCAACCAAACACCTTTTAAAATGAAATAAAATAATTAAAACTAAATTGTTTAATAAATATTTTCTTCATCCCAGACTTCAGATAATTTCTTTAAATCGCACAAGAACCAGTAAGAGATTATCCCTAAAACTCGATGATGAAATACATTAATTTTTGCACTTGTTTTGGGGTTTTTCTTGTTTGTTTGTTTTGTTTTTTGTTTTGGTTTATCTATTGTTTTCTACCCTTTCCTGGCTTTTTTAAAAGCGAGAAAAAAAATATATATATTTGTTCTTTGCGAGTTCTCTACATATCAAGTATCTTGTAACTTTGCTTAAAGAATATGTGTTGTATATATGGGAGCGATAGTACCCATGCAGGCCTAAAAACTTCGATTAGAGCAGCCTTTGTATGTTCACAGCAGCCCGAAGAGATCCCCATAGCTGACTCGGTCGACTGGAGCAGGGGTGCAGGCCCGTAGCCAGGTCATTTCAAGGGGGGGTTCTC